ATCCACACTTAAATCTTTAGGCAAATACATCCTGCATGAAAATTACACATTAAAAGGACATTTTGAGACCAATTAGTGAACACTTAATCTTTTTAAAGCATACTGTGCTAATTCTACAGAAGCATCCTTGGTGGAAATGTCAGGGGTTACCAAACCAAATGTTCTCTGGAAATGTAAGGTATTATTACATTATAACATTGCTCCCTTTACTCACCAAACTTGTAACTTCATCTAAAATGCATTTTCCACCAACTTATGTCAAGTGGCATTGGTGATGGTGCTCTCCCTTTTGATTATCAGCTTTTGCATCCCTGTGTCTGGCATCAGGGTAAGGTTGACAGCTCTGTATCAGCCAGGGCTGCTCTTTTTACAAACCAATCAAATCAATAAAAACCCACAGATGATAATTCATCCAGTGGTCTCAAAGCTCCACAGCATCTCCAGAACAAGTGATTGGGCAAATAACATTTACAAACTGTTGGATGCAAGTTTATCCAGAGATGCAGACTTTAAGTTCTTTAGCTGGAGCTGCTCTTATTTTACATTCTCAGGCTTGCATTGGTACAGGAATTATTTTCTTACCAACCTGGAACATGGCTTCATCATCTGTTTTTCACCCCCAAACCAGAACAGAGCAATTTACTGTGTTTCTTTTGCATTCCAATGAAAAGCTTTTTCACATAACAGTAGATCAGTTGAATAGCAACCATTCTTTTGTTTTAAATATATATTAAAATTACACAAATACCTTATCACTCAACATTACTGACTGCAGATCTCATCTTCTTTTAAGTTCTTTACCAGCTTTATGCTTCTAATTTTGAACAATTTCTGACAATTTTACCTTTTTTTTCTACTTATTTTTATTAATTTAAATGCCTTTGGTCATTCAATTATTAATATTCTTGTCAGTTTTCCAATCAAGACAGTAGTCAGGCAGTGCAACATTTCTCTCTCTCTTTTTTTTTTTTTTTTAAATAGATCGAGAAATTTTCCTGAACAATGCAGAGGTATCATTTAGGAAAGGACATGGTTCAGTTTCTTCCTTTTTTCCAGCCTCCAGTTTCCAGCTTTTTTAAGTTTCTCCTGAACCACCAAATATTTATATTACCGTTTTGGCCCTTACCTTGATCATCCATAACAGATGACTATCTTGTATCCCAGCCAGCACTGCTTTGGGGGTTTCACAAGTAATTCTCCTTTGCCAGTGCAGATGAAGGCGAACAGAAATTTCTTTGGCTCACATGCTTCTCTTTCTGAGTCAGGATATTATTACTGCTCCCGTTGGGAAGCTTGAGGTCAATTTCATATCAGCAAGAGGAGGGTTTTAGCATATTTTGCACAGATAGAAATCACACATAGTGTCACATCTCTTCCCCCCTACGCAGAGCAGAGAGGGAATTCGGTAGCCAGCCATTCTGCTTTCACACCTGGTGGTCTGTAGACAATATGTGCTACTACATGATCTTGTTTTTATGCCAACAGAAGAAAAAGACATTTTCTTCCCAACCCAACTGTGCTGGCAGTGGGGAAACCAACAGAGCACCTTATGCCCACTGAAAACCACCAACACAGCCAATCTGGTGACGGTGCCCTTCTATAAGTACCCGTAACTTGCTTCGGGTAAAATCAAGCAGATCTGTTTCAGCTTGTGGCTTGGAGTCAGCATGGCTGCCCTGGCCTGGCTGAGCAGGGGGCAGCTGCCCACAGCCCCTGACACCGCCCACCACTACATGTGCAAGTGCTTTCTGCACAGCTGCCAGCAGCTGGAAGACACGTAATCCCATTTTTACAGGCCAGGATCCTTTTTCCTGCCTGACCTTCCTGCCATGGCTGGCTTTAATGTTTCATCCACACGGGCCACCTCAGCAGACCGGCTACCTGGAATCTGCACGCAGGTGGGATCCATCTGCATGCTCCCTGCTTGTTTATTGCACTAGCGGCTGGTGCTATGGATCAGCAATTAAAGGTCACTCTCTCTTTGTATTCTTCAGTGTCTAAATTAATTTTGTTCTCAACATTATGGTTGTGGACTAAATGAGTATTCATCTGCTCCCTTGTTCTCCTGTCCCTTCTTTATTAGTTTCTCCCTCTCCAGGGAAACCAGCTCTAATGGCAAGGAAACCCAGCATTTTATCCACTGCCACTCAGATGCCTCAGAGACCAGCTCCATTGAAACATTTTAATGAAAAATATGTTCCTGATGAAATTTGGATGGCACGTTAACAAAGACAGATCTTAGTCCTTAGTATCAGAGCAGGTGTGTTATGTGCAAACATAATCCAGTGTGCTTCAAATGGTTTAATAAAGTAGCCTGTGTATTTTTCCTGAGCTCATCCTTTTGTTATCTAGGGTCTTTACAATTTTTACCATGTAAACATAGGGGCAACTTGTGATTTTGAATCACTATTTTTTTGGACTCTGTTCCCTTTTGGAAGGCGAGATGGGTCTGAAAGAAGGCACAGAGGAAGAGCACAGTGACCTGAGCTGCCATCCTGGCTTTGTTTCTGGCTTTACAGTTTGAGCATAATCTCAATCTCAAGCAAATCAGTTTACTCTGGCAAAAAAACCAAGACAATGCCTTTTTCATCAGGATTGGGAAACAAAAAGATCAAAGATCACTCATAACTCATAAAATACTCTAAGGCCATTGGATCAAAGGCACTATAGTAAGTGCAAAATACTGCGATACAAGTAAAACATCTTGCCACATGTTTCAGTCTCTTTCCTGCTGCGAGGATTTCTTTACTTTCTCCTCTGCATTACAACAGAGGAAAAAGATTTTTTTCTTAGTGATTAAAACTTCAAAAGATTGTGTTCATTGGGGAAAAAAGCCTGGCAATACACTCACCAATGTAAGATTTTTCAGATGTTAAATATAGGCAGCAAGTGAGATTGGAGTTTCAGTCCTGGGACTTGAGCAGACATTTCAGAGCAGGGAGCCATTCACCTCACTCTCCTCTGAACTTCTCCATCATCTGGAATCTACTTTTAGTATTATTTTCTTTATTACCACATGTGATTTATTTCCTGTTTCATTCAAACCAAACCAGTACCACGTTGCATCCGCTTGGAGCTCCTGGCACAACTGTGCACCTCTGTACCTTAGCACCTCTACAGTGGCACTCCCTGGAGCCAAATTCTTGCTGCCAGAGTCACACAGACCAGGACTGGGCACAGAAAGCTCCTAAGCATCCAAAGGAAGGGTTGAGCAATCTGACCCCATGACATATAACAGATTGTGTAGCTGCAAGTGTCTGGTGGCAAAACGCAGTGTCCTTCACTTATCAGACTGGATACACACGTGTGTATCCCTTGCCCTCCAAAACATCAAACATAATCTTACAGACACCAAAAGACAGCTGAATTAACACAAAACTGTACACACCTGTATTAAAACAAACCAGGAAAATACTAGGAATTTGAATTATTAAAATTAAAATGTTTAAAAACAGCCTGGAATAAATGAATAGTTCACTTTTTGCTGTTCAAAATACAGTCCGAGTTTCTCAATGTTTATCTTGCCCTCTTGAAGGTTTTTGTCAGTACTCCAGATGGCAGTGTGCCTGTGAATCATTAACCACCGCAGACCTCAGCTAGCATACGGAAAAGGGTTTTAGCGCAGGTTGATCAGAGCCGAGTGACAGCGGTGGGTGGCTAATCAGCTGTTTGGTCTCAGCATTCACTTGGGGCATGTGGAAATTGTATTTTCTTGGTCATATAGATGATACAAGTTAACTAGGAGGGACATTTTAATCTCTTTATAGTTTTGGACACCAAAACTTACTTACATTTACTTACTCTTGGGCCTTTATGTCATGCCCACACTTACTGCAAATGAATTAGGAAAAGCAGGAAGATTCATTACATGTAACATTGCCCGATTTAAATGCTCCTTGAAACCCTTTCGTAGCTTGGTGGGTATATGGGTATCCATTGGTCTGTATTTAAATCATAGACTCCATGTCAGTGAAATATCTGAGTCTGTTGCATAAAAACTGATGGAAAGGTTTTTTTTTAAGAAAGATCTGCAAGAGCATAGTTTTATCATGTAACAACAGTTCCTGAACATTATTCATAAACACTGGACGTGACAAATACCCACATATATGTAATGTTTGGCACATTAAGGAGCTGGTGCTGCTCTTTGCCATTTGATGTTCTGTCTTCACCACTGAAAGCTCACTCGCTGACCCTGGACATCGGCCTCCCGCCTGCCCACTGCTCTCTTCATGTCAACAACCAGCACCAATGTGCAAGCTTGTGCCTGGGCAGGTGCTGAGTGGCAGGAGAGTGATTTTCACAGAACATCCTGAGTTGGATCCCACAAGGATCACTGAAGTCCAGCTCCTGGCCCTGCACAGGACAGACCCAAGAGTCACACCATGTGCCTGAGAGTATTGTCCAAACGTTTCTTGAACTCTGTCAGGCTTGGTGCTGTGACTAATACGCTGGGGAGCCTATTCCAGTGCCCGACTACCCCCTGGATGAAGAACCTTTCCCTGATATCCAACCTAAACTTCCCCTGACACAACTTCATGATATTCCCTCAGATCCTGTCACTGGTCACCACAGAAGAGATCAGTGCCTGCCCCTCCGCTTCCACTCATGAGGAAGCTGTAAATAGCGATGAGGTCTTCCCTCAGTCTCCTCTTCTCCAGGATGAACAGACCGAGTGACCTCAGCCGGTCCGCACGGCTGCGATGCAAACCGCACCGCACAGCACCGGGGTACGGCAGGGCTTTCATCGGGGCCGGCCGCCGGCCCAGACCGGGGGTGCACACGGCCAAGGCTCTCGGGGCGTCCTCCCCTCGGCGGGCGGCCGCGCCCCTCCCCAATGCCCTCTGCCCCAGGGGCCGCCGCAGCTCGGCGGGCGGGCGTGTGAGGGCGGTGCGGCCCGTCAGGGCAGGGCCGGGCTGGGCTGGGCAGGGCCGGGCAGCGCCTCGCCGCCAGGGGCGCGGGCTCTTCTCGCTCGGCGCCCGCCGCGCCCCGCGCCCCGCTGACAGCCGCGCCGCCATTCAGCGCTCCCGCCGCCGCCGCCGCCGCCGGCGGAGGGCAGCGAGCGCCCAGGGCAGCCCCGGCGGCATCTCCTCCACGGGAAGGATCTCTCTCTGGCCTCATCCCGCCGGGCGCTCCGCCCGCGCAGAGCCGCGGGCAGCGGCGTGGAGGTGAGCGCGGGGCGGGCGGAGGGCGAGCCGAGCCCGGGGGTCGCGGGGCGCGGGCACGTCCCCCCGCGGCGGCGGTGACGAGGGGCTGGGGCGGTGGGAGCCCCGGGCAGACCCGGGCGCGGAGCCGGCCGGCCGGCGTGTGGCGGCGCGGAGCCCGGTGAGCACAGGCAGGGCAGGACAGGGCAGAGCCCGTCGGTCGGTGCGAGGGGCGCGGACGGGACCGCGCCGTGACGCTCGGTTATGGGGGATTTTAAAAACAACCCCTGTGACTGCAGGTCCTGGTTTTGTCCCTGCCCGCCGCCCAGATCTTTCCTATGTTCGCCACTGTCCAAGAGGCACGGGCCGTCCCGCCCGGAGCCCCGGTGTTCCAGCGCTCCCGAGGTGCTCGGAGCACCGGCATGGGGAGCGACTGCACTGGTTTCTCATCAGTCCATGATAAGTAGGATTAATTTTAGTGTTTTTCACTGTGTTCGGTGGTTTCTACTTTGTAACAGTCGCTAGACCAGACGAAACCGTGTGAATAAACGCTAAAACCAAGGTAATCCGTAGGAGAAAGCTTCCCAGTTCTCTTTTTAACACGGATACTTCACGATATTTCAGACTTGCTTCTCAAACGTACTTCTCAGTGTTTCAGCTGTGCAATATGTATTCCCCATACTGTGATCTTTAAAATAAACTGCACTAAAAGGGGAATTCCAGAAACAGTGTACAATACATATTTTAAAAAAAGGAAAACTCTCTAGAGGGGGAGGGAAAGAACGGATGACTGCGTTCCTTCCCTTATGCCATAAGGTCTGATCTAATATATTTAATTCTTTGCATTCTTTATTTATTATTTCTTGGACACCTTCCCAAATCTCCTTATGCTTAGTAAGCTTATTTTCGCTGTACGTTTTCGGAAGTAAATATTATCCATATATTCTATCTACTGTAAGCCCTTTGGTTTCAAAGGACGGATGTTGCTGGCCAGCTAGCTCATGAATTGCTGATTTATTATCAGAACGGGGCTGAGAAATCCCAGGATTTTGTGGGATATGACCCCAAATGTTAATGAAAATAGGCTTTACCAGCTAATTATTATTTTTTTTCTGTGTACACAGGGGATCTGATGCTGTCAGTTTCAACCTAGTGAATTTAGATGCATAATTTTAATAAAGTCATTATCTGATAACAATGTAAAATTGTTGGATGTGTAAATAAGAATGAAAGATGCCTTTGAGGATGTCAGCTCTAGCCCCCTGCTGTGGCAGACATCACATAGATATGTTTCTGGCTAAGCTCAATATCTTCTGAGAAGTGGCATATTTTTGCCCTGACCACTCTGACTGGTCAGCAGTGATTAGATTTTGATAAAATGTAATGCATACCTGAGGTGTTCCCTCTTTAATGTCAGAGGAGAAAGATTATATGAGAAGTTCTGAAATTCCCAGCAGGTAGTAACACTTCAATAGCTGCCTAATCCCATTGCAATAAGTGTATGCTGGTTGAAAATAATTAATCTCTTTCCTGCCATACAGATAAAATACCTTAAATTTGAGGAAATGTTGCAGATACACATTTCTTTTTGCTGTTAGTGCTGCTTGTGAAATGTAGGGAGGATTTAGGGACTTTGAGGCTTTTCTCTCTCTAGCCTATTTTACTGTCAGCCTCTCATGCACAGCCAGAATTGTGCAGATTTTGGGTTGCAAATACAACTGAAATACGTTAACTAATGGACAGCTATTAAGGACATTGTTTTTCATCCCCCAGCATTCTGTCAACATTTTGCTTGATTTAAATTCCAGTAAATACCTTTATTTTTCTGACAGCATCACTCCAGATGGCTGGCTGGCTTCTTGGTGGGTCTGTTGGGGTGGCTGGAATAGGTGCTGCTGCTTGGGGCAGTGCTCGTAGGGGAGGCAGATTGGCTCCAAGAGGATTACTTCTCAACCTGACAGCCCCCTGCACACACACTTATTCCTTCCCAAGCCCTTCTCCCACCTTGCTCTCATGTGTGCCCTAAGTTCTGTGCCATGGCTGGGTCAGCCTTCACTTGGGGCTATGGGGTCTGGGGGACAAGGAGAAACCGGGGCTGTGCTCAGAGAAGAGATGAGCCAAGACAGGCCTATTACCAAAGGAGGATTGGGCTGGGGCAGGGGAGGGCTCAGCTCATGTTGGACGTTTGCAAAGAGGAGGAGGACTGAGGGTGCTCATGGGTAGGGGGAAATATGGGATCCATCAGTGGCACTTCCCTTTGCATGAATGAGGCTCCAGAGCACAGAGGTGTCGAGTGCCATGGGTTTGTGTTCTCAATACACTCAGTGCTTGGATGGAGGATCTGATTAACTCCTGATGTCCCTTTCATAACTTCAAGGCTCATTTCCCTCTCATCCCCCTTAGGATGTGGGAGTAGGCACTGAATGCTATACGGTTGCAGCTGGCGAAGGTGGTAACTGCTCAATCAGCAGGTGACAGCTCTCAGAAGATGTGGCAGGTTTCTGAAATGTCATATCTGTACTGTGGCCTTGGGTACTGCTGCAGAAAGTATTGAGAGTCATAAATCAAGATGGCTTGGGGCTTGTTTTTGATTTGGGCTAGTTGATTTTAGGAGCTTTTTTGTGAAACCAAAATGATCACAAAATACTATATGATTTTAATGATGTAGAGAAATAGGGGCATTATTTGAATAGAATAATATATGTGTTTCTAATAGACAGTATATGTAACCTATTCTGTTACTTATTTGCAAAAAATATTGTAAATAAAATCTTAAATTTCATGTTTGGCTCTTACACAGGTCATGACACTGTGGTGCTTGCAAGCCTCACAGTTGATGTGGATTTATTCCTGTAATACCTATACCAGATAGTGAGGTACTGTCTTCAATGGAGAGCTATGCCACAGGAAAACTAAGTGATGTGACCAAGATCGCACAGGAAATCTGTTGCAGAGCAGGGACTCAAAGTTTTCCTGTGTCATTTGCGTTACACATAAGCCTCTTGGTCTTCATTTCCAAGGCACTTTATGGCTTATGTCCTCCTCATCTGTCATTTCAAATTCCTCTTGGAGAGGAAGTCTTCCACTTCCAGTCAGTCCATTACACCATCTCTTGGAAGAAGAAAGCATCTTTTTATGTTGCTGTGCTTCTGCTGCATCTCACACAATAGAGCCTCAGTTCATACTTGTCCACGGGAGCAATAAATTAAAAAAGCCAATTATTCCAAGTCTGATAGCCTTCTCTGTTCAATCATTTTTCATCTCATTAAGTTAATGAACTTGAGGTAGAAGATCTGAATGGAGTAGAAGCCATTTCAGATGCACTGTCTGCCTCAAAAAAGAAAAATTTTATGTATGAAAAGTGGAAAAATAATAGAACAGGGGGGAAAGATGTGGTGAGTTTGGAAGAAGACCTAAAAATGAAAACAAATCTAGAAAGAAGTTGGCTTAGGGAAGACAGAGGAGAGAGGAAAATTCTGTAAGGCCTGTCCAAAACTAAGAGGAGGCAAAAGGAGGGAAAAACTGAAGGAGGGGAGAGGAACAAACCTGTGCAGAAGGAGAGGAGAAGGAGAGGGGCAATAATACACCAAAAATGGGCCAGCAATTCTTACATTTAGAAGTGCTATTAGAATTGAGCTAACAAAGGTGCAAGAACTCAGGGAGGGTTCGAGGAGAGAGTTTAATTGGAGCTTTGTTCAAAAGCAGGGCTGTATTTCAGCCAGTAGCCTAAAGTGGCTATATGTGTGTGAGGTGGGAGGGCTCCTGCTGCAATCCAGTGATGGCAGAGGTGTGCAGAGGGTGAAGTAGCCCCGGGCTAGGCTTCCAGAGGTACCTGATCTCACTAATTGAAAGTTAGTTTTGGTACTGTTTCAAATACTCCAGTTCTAGCCTGAGTTCTAGCCCACACTGCATGCTGGAGTCTTTTCCCAAGCAAGCCAAGATAACACAGAGGAAGGGTGTCCCTTCCATAGCTTCACTTCCTCCATGTAATGTGTCGCTCATTAGACTGAGATTAGGATTATTTGAATTTCACCTGCCTGTGTGTGACTCTCTGAAAGAAGTATTTGTAAAAACCATTTGAAAAATACACAGCTTGGAAAGCTAGAAATGGAAAGGATCCATTAAATCATCCAGCGCAATCACGGTTGTGGCCCACAAAGTAGTTTTTCCCCTCATTATTTCAGAGCAGTTTACAGCAATGCCACATAACTTCTACTATTTTCCTTGAGCAGCTGTGCTAGAGGCCAAGGCATCTATTGCAATTATTTTTTTTAACTGAAACCCGCTTTTTTTTTCCTTGAGCTACCTCGATTCTTTGTTTTGATTAACTGATTAATTACCAGGAACGATAACAGGCTAGGAATGGTGTCCCCATGTGATGCTGTGCCTGCTGCCGGTAGCCTGGGACAGTTAAGGAGCGGCTGCTCCAGGAAGCAGGCTGGCTCTCCACCACCCTCTGCTAGCAGCCTGCCCGTCTCTTGAGGCATAAGGTTTGTCTTCCTGTAATTTACAGCGTATGAAGTGAAATTGTGGGTGGTGACGGTATCACTGTCCCTATCTAATACTTTCTGGAATCTTGTCAAGTTCATGGGCCAGATGATGATTATTCCTTTCAGATATGTACAGCTATTATTGTAATGGGCTTTTACTGTTAGTCTTTTCCTAGAAATTATTCTCTCCAGCCACTTGGCACAGAGAGCAGTTCAAAAAGCTTTCAAATAACACATCTGCTGCCTCTTAGTTCAACAAGTCGAGCAATGTAATTGTTGTAATACCTCATTTGTGATTCCTAAAGGTGTACCTGATTTTTGCTGTACTTGGTTCCTATGTTTTACCTTTATTCTCCACAATTTTGCTCATTCCTAACTTCTGCCTGCTCCAGTGCCAGATTTCTCTCATAAAATTAGGTTGTAAACTTAATGGATCAAGACCTTTCTTGCATGTTTGTGTGATGGTTAGCACAGTAAGACTGACCTGCAAGTGCTCCTGTGAAACACAGAAGAGCAATTCTTATATTTTGAGAATGGCCTCTGAGTTAGAACTTCTCTTTTTAGATTCCCTCCTACTTATGTTTTTGAAGCAAACTGTTTGGTTTTGCTGCTATCATTGTGCTTCCAACCTATTTTATTTAATTGTTATGAGACTCATAAAGACTAGTTTAAACCACATGGACATAAAACTGGGAAACTTGCCAAAAAGAACTCTATGTTGGCTTAGCCAAGGCTGAATGTAAACTTAAAAAATCATGGAGGAAAAAGTGAAAGTTAGCACCTTCTCCATCTGATCAGTCTGAATGACATGAAACGCAGTTATAGGTCTTTTATAAATCTAGTAATATCACTAAATATATTACCAGACCTGAATTACAGAGGAGTTTGAGGACCAAAAAAGTAGTTTGCTACTGAGCTTCTTTCATGCCTGAAAGCAGTTATGAAACGAAGCCTGAAGTGATATGAATTGTGAAGCAGCAGTAAATCTCCAATATTGACATGTGCTGAGATCAGAGTTATATTTTGTATAAAATATTCATTATTTTGCTATCGTGAGCCTTGGTCTTAGTATAAGACATGCACAGCAGCAGTTACTTCAGTGCAGTGTTGTGATCTGTCTTTGTTGTTCTGGCTCAGGAGCTGACATTTCAGGAGGAAAAATTTATTGCATAGTGAACTGTAGTTGTGCTTATTCAGATCCACTGATACAGTGTTAGTAATTTTAAGTAGATGGGGGAGAAATGTTGATTAATAGGTTTTTTTTCTTTTTATGCTTATTAGCGGGATGTCTGTCTTCTTGTATTTTGTGAAACAAAGTCGAGACAGCTGTAATTTTTTAACTTATAGGTGTTCTTGGAAAACGTGCCGGCACTTTGGAGCTGAAGAAGGACATGAGGAGTAAAAGAACCTGGGATCTCACTGGTCAGAATGAAACAGATGTTGAAAGATTTTTCAAATCTATTGTTAGTAGTGCTCTGTGACTACGGTGAGTATTAGAGCTGTCAGGGGAAAACTACACTATGCGCATTCACAAGATAGTTTTGGATTTATGTTTCCAGGTGATCTGTTGAAATCAGATGCTACAGAAGCTACCACTGATATGCACAGAAGTTAGATCTTATGCAGTATTTAGGTGGAAAATGCAACTTGCGTAAACTGTCCCTTTAGATCAGAGTGGCAGGAACCTTTCCTGCTGTAAATTTGCTCAGAGTATTAAACAAGATAAATGAACAGATTTCCATGGGCATCAAGGGACCGGCTGTGATAGAAGCAGCAACTAGAACTGTATTTGCTTGTAAGACTTATTTTTCATAATATTTAATGAACATCGTGGAAAATAGACCTGGTTTAGGTATCCGTACTAGGATGGGCAGAACTGCGCCACACAACTACCTATTTCTCTCCATTACTGGAAAAGGAACCTACTATGGTTGGCTGAGATGTAAGCATCTACAGTACAGGCAACCTGCTATGGCTGAGTGAGCCCTCACCTGATGGACCTAAGCTGCCACTTAGAGAGCTTCTGAGAACAACAGAAGTGTTCTTTCTTCTGACCATGTAAGAATCGAAAGGGTGATATTCATAATCATTCAGTGTTGGTCACATAAAATTAGACAGGTAGTCAGAGACAATCAGTCTCGTTTGAGTAGTCCATGCACAAATCAGCACATATTGAAAGCATCTCCTACCCATCTGCAACAGAGATGCGTAGAATGAAAGAGCACCTCCTTCTCACCTTCAGCTGCCAAGGAGGGAGGTTAGACATCTTAAGTTTAGTCAGACAACTGCAAGATGTCTACAAGCTGAGGGGCATCATATGCATAGTGTCTTATCCTTTTCTTGAATGTAATAAGTAGGAAGTAGATTTGCAAAGGGAATTAATTCCTTATCGCACAGGGAATTAGAAATGTTGAAAATGGGACTCTTCGTTCCTAAACAATACATATGTTTTAGAAATTTGCATTCCTAGTTTAAAAGCAGGCATTGTGACAGCTGTAGCACATTGTCAAACCATGCTAAGGATTAAGCTTGCACTGCTGAAATGTCTGCAATATGGAAAAATGGGAAAAGGAGTGGTTAATCCCCACTTATGAAAAGAGCTGTAGCAGCAGGTAGTTCATGCACCAAAGAGCTGAAGATACCTTACGAAGGAGAGAAATGGACCAAAAATGTACGCAGATTGCTCTTCATATGTAAGTGAGAAAAATCTGATTAATGACTGAATGCTAAGTGTGCTATTCATGCCTCTGTGCTTGCTCCATCTCTGCTCTAGAACAAGGGATCACTAGAAGATGTAAAGAACCTGTAGAAGAATTGCCATCTTTTAGATGAATTTAGTTCCAGTAGAAGTGGAGACACTTCTCTATGCCTTTTAGTACCACTTCTTACTTTATTAAGACAAAGTTAACCAGCCCAGTTAGGAATACTGCACTGAGCGGGTAACACAGTGAAGGTAAGTATTAAATTCACTGAAGTCAAAAAGTGAGATGAATGATTGCAATATGCACTGTTTCTTAGTGAGCCAATCCTGTAGGCATTCACAACTAGTTGACTCAGGTAAAAGCTATTATTCCTGAACTGTATAGAGCATAGTGCAGTATGTAATTACAAGATGCAGTTAATGAGCTAAATCTCTGCTGCAAACTTTAGGTGCATCAACCTTTGCCTTATTTCCAGTTAAAGGGCAGTCCATAATTCAGAAAATTACTTCCAAACAGTTCTGCATATACACATCTTTGAGTATCACGTGTACATGGTTTTTAGATAGCTATTTCACTCATGTAGTTCTCTGTTTCAGACAAGACTATTTCCAGTATGCTCTGGAAAAATTACCGTAGTGCTAAAAAAGCCCTAACATACAACAAAATAGTATTCTCATTTCTTATCATTTTTACTGATGTTTTTGTTCTTAGCTCTGTGCTACTGGTGGCTGACAAGCCAATAGCATAACCCAAGTTGGCTTAAGCACTCTTAAAAATAAGTAAGTATCCAAATAGCTTCCTCAAGTAATTCTTCTTGCTCTTCAGTCACAACAAGGAGTTTTCTTTTGATCTTTCTAAGAGTGAGTTCTTACAAAGACTGCTCTGGCAGATTGTTGGCACCACATCCAGGCTTCTTGCAGTGGGAGACCATTGTAATGACAAAGAAAAATATACAAATGCATTGAAAGCTGCCTCTGACTGGCTGTCCAAACAATTGGGACTAAGTTTTGGCACGTGACACAGTCATGGGCAAATGGTAGGCTGGAGGTCAGCTGAAGGAGCTTGTGGTGGAAGCTGGCTGCTTCTGAGAGGTGCCTTTGGGAGCATCATGAAAAAGTGCTGTGTGGGCTGTCCAAGAGTGCAAAGTTCTTGTGCTGTTTACCAAACATGGGGAAAAGGATGCTGTGAACTGTGGTGCACCAGCCGGAGCTCTCCGGTGCTGAGCTCCAGTAATGCTCACTTTCCTCACTTCCTAAGTGATCTACATTGGGGTTGATGGGATATGGCAGTTCCCTGCCCTTCTCTCCAGTCCTCCCACCTGCATGCACTGTGCTGTTACTTCTTGTCTCAGCCATTCCAAATAAAAAAACAGTGCAAGAGAGTCAAGACAGTTGTAAAAGAGAGTTAGAATGCTAAAGCAGTAGGTACAAACATCAGTGATTTTCATTACTTTCACTTGAATGGTTTTTTTATAAGTTTAAAGCTTAAAATTGAATTTTTTCATGCTGGGTTTTTGCCATGGTGTGATTTCTTTTTCCTTTATAATGTTTCAGCTAAGTGGAATCTAGCCAATTACTTTGTAGAGAAATGCATCTCTGTAATTTGTAGAGAAATTGCCCACTCCCAGAGAAACAAAACCCCAGCGACTCAACCACTTCACTGGGAAGCTCTAACATAGCTGTGAGAACTTCATCTTTCTTAGTGCTCACAGGGGCCTGGAACATGCTTTCTGCTGTCCTTATTAAGAGTTGCCTAGATCTGGTACAGATCTAAATCCTTGCAGATGAGTTAGTAATGAGGTTCTCTGAAGGGTCAAGTGTGCCCCAAGCCTGCTGGCTCCTCTTGCCAGCCCCTTACAACATGCTTCAGCCCAGGGCAACATAGTTCCCCAATTCGGTTGAACACTAGAGTTGATTGTCCTGTGCTCCCTGATGTCATGCTAGCAGTGAGTAAGGAAGGTGGGAATGTGCTAGAGTTAATAGCAGGCCCAAGGAACCGTAGAAGGTAAAAGCTGTATGGTAAAGAGATGAGGGCAGGAGTTTGGAGAACTGTGATAACAGTAATGGAGTTAGGCTGGTACCCAAGAGATATTGACGGTAGATGATGGTAGGAACAGGGCTGTAAAAAATGGGGAGGCACACATGGCAAAACCAGAACGCGAAGAGCAAGGAGAATGTGTTGCTGGGCAATTCATAGAGACGTTTTTCACAGGCACTTAGGGTCTATTTCTTATTCTCTGAGTGTCCAAGTTGAGATCAGGTTTGCTGGGGTGCCATGTGCTCACCAGAGCTGGAATCAGTGGGATCCTGCTTTGGATGTCTGAGGGACCATTGTATTTAAAATCAGGTCCTCGCTTTCAGAGAGCATCCACAATTAGTTAATACTTGACAGTTTTCACCTTTGTGCCTGTGCCTTGGTTCCTAACACACTAAACAAGGTAGTGACATCCTCTCATCTTGCAGGGATTTTGGAAGAACAAACTCATTAATATTTCTAGTTCACTAATATACTATAAGAGCACAATAGAAGAGTCCATGGGGGAAATGAATAATTCTATGTTATCAGGATGGATTTTGGAGTCAATAATACATAGGACCACCCATGGAAGAATGAATACAAAAGAGCCTTCTGGTAATGAGCACCATCCATCTGCCAAATGAAGCAGCATCTTGTGGAAATGCAAATGAAAGACTGAGTTATAGTACATATATGTAAGAGTATATGCATTATTTATATGTGTGAGACTGTGCATGCCACCTTTATTAGGACTTTATGTGTGTGGTTGGAGCTGGTTATTTTAAGGGCATGTTATAGCTGATGGTGAGTAATAGGCTCTTTTTTTTCTACTGCACACTGCACCCCACCCTGATGTAAATGTCTGTAGCCAGTCAGATGAATTTCTTCCTGAATATTTTCCCTGCTGAGAAGAAAGTGAATCCAAGGTGACTAACTTAAATTGAAGCTTAGAGTGGTAGGCGTCTAATATTATGTGAGATGAGTCCTGCTACTCCTGACTGCTGAGTGCTTGCCTTGGCAGTTGCGATGTTTTTCCAGCAAAGCTTTCTTTGAGGTAATCTTAAGACATGTGTAACAGATTTAACAAGTCAAAGTATTGTTAGTTGATACTACTTATGAAAGGATTGCTTTAACTGAAATTTTACAGTTCCGTAGCACCTTCCATCCAAGACTCAGAAGCTTTTTCCCAGACAATTAAATAAAGATGTCTCACAGGGCATTCTGTATCAGGAATAGATGTATGCAGTTCCCATTTTTCAGATAACCTTTCTGTGTCTGAAATCCTTAGGTTTCAGACAACACAGAAAAGCTAGCTGAGCTAAGAACGGAAATGGGATCTTCCCAGTTCATTGCTTCAGATATCATCACTAGTTACAGCCTGTCTCAGGATAATTTGGCAACTTGCACAAACATGGTCGTGAAAGAAGTGAATTTGAAAAGACTGCGCCATTTATAATGAAATGATGTCATTTAGACATGTTGCACCACATTTGAGACAAGAAAAGTGCTGCAGTCACCATCACTGTTATTTTCAGCTTTCACTCAAGTGTCTGCAATGCAAATGAGCAAAATGAAAGATTCATAAGACAGAGAAAGAGAAGAGGCTTCAAAAAGCATCATGCAGTCTTTTATTTTATTTGGGGGACATTTTTCATGTTTCTGTACTAAGAAACCACTGTTCTTTTTTTGCTAAATTATAGCTAAAGTAAATGGAAAAACAGCTGGCCTCTGTGAAGTGGACTTTAAGAATCTGTAAGTGAAAGAAGTTGAGAGGTTTGAGAATCTATCCTGATAAATTAAGTTTTCTGTGAATCTTTTGGGTGGTTTGTGGTTTACTTTAAAATACTCTTTTTTACCTTCCTGAACATGTTACTGCAGTGGACTTTGAGCTGCTCCAAATCACATCCCTGCACAAAGGAGAGGTGTTGAGCTCTAACTGCAGTGGCTAGAACTTTTTTTTTTTTTGCTAACTGATTCACTTGAAAAAGATTGAAAACCGCTTTTTAATATCGATTTTTAAAATATTTGTTTTCTTCCATAAGGTAGATAAACAATCAGTTGTCTGCTTGGTTCTTAATACTGTTGTGAAACTGTTTTCCTTTCAGTTCTTGGCGAAGTGGAGTATCTCCTGTTGGAGCGCCCAGGTCATGTAGCCTTCAGCAATGACACAGTGCCTGTGGAATATCAGTACTATAATGGTGGTAATGTGACAGCAGAGTATGCATCCATCCTTTTGCTGGATGCCAGCACCAATGAGATAATTGCAAGAAAACAGCTTCCAGCAAATCAGTCCCAGGGGACGGTAGAATTTGAGTGTTTCCATTTCAAGAGTGCTGGTGATTTCTTGTTCAGAATGGTCTCTCCCAGTGATAACAGCAGTGCTGCCCAGTGGAGCAGAAGCAGCGTGTCCACCCTCCATGTGGAATGGCCTGTGTTTCACATTGATTTGAACAGGAGTTCAGAGGTGTTTGGGAGCTCCCTTCAGGTTGGACTTTTTACAAATGAGCAGTTGTGTGCCATGAACGAGACTGTGATTTCGCTGGATGTGATATTCACCAGCACCCTTTATGAATTCAGAAGAGTAAGCTCGGATGAGACTCTGGGCATTAGAACTAGCAAAGGAATCCCACTCTCTAGGTCCCAGTGGGTAAAGTTTGACTGCCCACCTGTTGGTCAAGAAATATACCTCACTGTGTTACTCACATCGTTAGAAACACATTCCGTCATTGCCTCCATAGGACCTGTAGATCTTCTGCACAAATTTGGATGCAGACTGGTTGTGGCAGCAGAAGCCACATGCAAAACTTTGGTTCAGGTCTTCGTAATCTCTCCACCGTGCGCTTCTATCAGTGGAAAAATTGTCGTCTATAAAGAGGCTCTCAAGCATCCAAGTCAAAGAACAACTTGGCTGTATGAAAACGCCCTTCACCCAGGAGACAACAGGACAGAATTTAACTGCACTTTGTTTGATGTGGGGAAGAACAAATACTGCTTTGACCTCTTTAATTTCTCAAACCGAAGCTATTTCCCAACAAGAGTTAAGGAGTGTATAATGATCCAAAGGAATACGGGTTTGTACTGATGTTTTTCCTCTTTTAGCTAAAATCAGCACTCTTCCCAGCCAACATGGTAAATAGGTTTGATTGTGGTGTCCCTTACTGAATAGGTACTTTTTGGATCTCCTACACCAATCAAAATAGTTGTAATGTCATATGCAGGTGGCAACACGATAGACTGTTATGTAGAGGTGTACACGAGGATATCTGGTGGTAAGTGCCACTGTGATAGCTTAAAGCTGCACTAAGTTAACGCTAAGTACCAACCAAAACCATTTAGGGCATTTTGAATGTTTTATATATCTAGTCTGGCTGAAAATGAAGCTTGTTCCTCTCAGTGACTAAAGAAGCTACTGCTGTAGATCTGGTCTGTGGAAGACTCTAAAGGTAGGATTAGTCTTACCTACATTTAAGTGTATAAAAGCCAAAGGTCCAACACTAGATAGTTGTCTAGATTTTTAGTCAAGGCGTCTCACAAGGGTGATTCATGGGTATAGAAAATACATGGGCTGAATCCTCACTTGGGTGTCTTTTTCTCTAGCCCTGTTGCTGTGAAAGTTTAGAGCCCTACCTGTTAGATGCACAAATTTTGGTGAGATGAATCAGGATTTGGCTACAGCTGTCACTTGGACAGCTTGCAGGTTTTTCAAGCAGCCTTTCAAGACATGTCTACTGCTTAGAACAGACCAGGGTGCATTTTCTGACCCATCAGGCCACCTGGTAGATCATGGGTCACATTCATATAGCTAAAATTTTCCTTAGAGGAAAGGATAGAATCATACAAGCTGCCAGCTGGGGATAGTCTGTGGTCCATATAGTCCTCTGGACCGTGGTCAAACGTGGCAGAATGCTCGTTGGCAGAAGCCATAACTGTGCCCAAGAGTATGAATGATCATGGTCAGGAGTGATCACAGTTAAGTACACAGGCAGAGCTTGAGCCCATTCCTCAGACCTGTTTAAAACCTTTCTATCCATTCTATTTTTATATCTTATGCAGCTGTAGCATCAGAGGTGGCAGTCCGTGGTTTGACAGAGTCTATGAATCACAGTTGCATGGCAGAGGAAGCAGATGAGCTAAATATCCTTCTCATCACTCATTTGTGAAAGGCAACCAGTGTGAGGGGTGGGCTGTATGTGCACAAGGTAATTGGGATTGGGTTGGGTTAGGTTGTCGTGCCTGCACCGTGGAATGTAAAAGTAAATGTTCCCATTTGGAGCAGGCTTGTGTCTATAGGTAACAAATCAATCTTTCCCATCTGTACACTTCAAAGAGTGGGTTGAAAGGTTTGAGATGTGCGCCACTTTCCTCACCTCCCCGGCCTGGTCTCCCTGAAAAGGAAGTGCAGGAACTCTAGCCAAAAAATGGTCATTGCACTTCATGGGCAGGTATCTGAGAGGCATCATGAGGAGACCTAGAGTGTAGGACATGCTCCAGAGCACACGGTGCAGACACAGCCTACCTTAATTAGGTTCATAGCTTCATGTGGTCTTACTTGGTACTCTTTCACAAATTCTAAAGCTGTTAGCTATTTAATTAACACTCTGTACTAAAAATGACCTCTGTTTTCAACACATGCCAAACTCAGTACCTAGTTCCCTTCATCTTAACTTCCCATCTGCATTCTCTGTTGGCAGTCTCCCTCTTCCTTTGGCATAGAAAAGTCTATCTAAAAATAAAAGCATATTATTTTCGTAATGGAGATAATTCTCAAGGAAAAAGGAAGAGACAATTTTTCCTCTGTGCTTGGGTGGTGTGTTACACTGATATGATCTACATAATTGCCCTGACAGATAAATACCTAGCATATAATATAGATATGTTTCTGTGCCCAATATTTAATTGTTTTAATTGATGAGATCTGCATTAAGGAATGGCTTCCTGCAATCTGCTCTGTTTCCTTGGGTTCCCCAATAGCATCATCCTTACAACTACAGTCGAAAGAATCAGGCTATGCCTGTGAAGAGCAGAGTTAAGTCAATAGCTGCCACGATAATAATATCAACTCTATAAAGCCGATGAAAGCAAAACCACACCATGTAGTCGTAAATAAAATGTCAACCTGAAATTAATTAGACTGCAGCACATCTGACTTCTTGTCTGTATCTGTGAGACTTCAAAGCCTGCAGGCGACATTTGAAAAGAGTGGGGTGTTCTGGGAGGGGCGCATCAGCCTGAAGCCACGACAGACAGAGTGAACCTGTGCTGCCTGTGCTGGCTATCTGCCTCCTGGATCCTTTGGAAAGTGCACTCCTGAGCCCTCTCACTCTGCTGCAGGGCACTGTGCAGTGGCCTCCATAGACTCAGACCCCTTAGTAAAACATGCGACTGCTACACAACAGAGACCTCGCCTCAAGTCTCTTATTCTCTGCTTTGGACTTCTTGAACTCAGTTTAAGGCAAGGAGAAGTGATAAATACCCTAGTCTGGGCTTCTGTGCAGCACGGGCCCTCATTTTTATTCAGTTACCCTGGTGTTGAGTCCCAAGAGTTATCCAGTTTTTTATTGAAGACACCACAAAACAGAGACTTTTATGGTAATTTTTCTCAATCTTGTGCTCTGATTTATTTATTCTTTAAAAAGGGAAACTCTGTGTTTCATAACTGAAGCTTATCTAGCTTCATCCTCTGGTGACTGGCTTTTACTCTGTTGCTTTCTGATAGCTGTTTCCCATCCACTGTCTTCCCTTCATGAAGACGTTTGCACATCCAGGTCATCTCAGTCCTTCCAGATTATCTCAGTGTACTGAGATAAACTGAAAAGATTGAGTCTTTAATTGGAAGACATTTCTTCAGGATTTGATTAATTTATTGATTCTCTTTGGCTCCCTTTCTGTTATTTTAAATACTCACTTTTATTTGATGTCCAGGGTACTAGCTTTGGGTGCTGTATTCATCTGTCCCTCCTCACTGATGCTGCTTGAGCAGTAGCACTCCCCCTACCCCTACCTCTGCTTTCATTCCACCAATTGCATTAGGTAAATTTGCCATAACTTTCACCCTCTAAACTCCTCTTGCACTGTTTTTGTGTATGTAGTCCACCATCCTGCAGGTGCAATTTGCATTCCTTCATTTTTCATTCTGCTGATTTATGATCTATTTTGTTTGAATTATCCTAACTTAGCCAGTACCCTATGGTGCTCCACACAACTGCACTATCTACTTTTGTCATTACAGGAGTGACATATTTTCTCAGTAATGGTTTTATATTTATTTTCATGTCAACTAGGGAAGCATTGGACCTTATATTAATCCCTTTGGAATCTCTCCAAATGGATTCTCACTCGGTGATGGTTTTCTGTTGACAGTTGCATATCCAATCTGTCACTCAGCCAGTTCTTACTTCATTTTAGCATATGCTCTATTGTTTTGAAGAAGAGATATTGTTTTGTAAAATATCAAAGTTCCTAAATTATTAAAATTATCTTCATCCAAACCACAGAGGATGAGATAAAAGAAGATATTTTGCCACGTGTATTTTCCATATATCAGACATCAGTTATATTCCTGATCCTTTGTCAATCCTGCTCTTTACTCCTCATCCCAGCCAGGTTTAGTACAGCCTTTTGGAACAGGAATCTGGCTTGTGCTTGAAGCAGGAAGGAGAAAGCTCCCAGTGGCCCTGACCAGGCCAGGGCAGCAGGTCTCCCGGCCCAGTCCATCAGCCTCAGAACGAGTGTCACAAGAAACCCTGTGCTATCTAAGACTGTGAATATATCTGTTAAAGGTGGGGAATACATCCATTAAACATGAGCCAGCACTTGTGCAACTTTCTGTAGACTCTAAATGGAGAACCTGTGAAAAAATTAACAATGAGATGTGAGTCACTTAATTCATCTCAGTGGGCTCTTCACTGTTTGACACAGGTGACTTAGAGTCATGCAGCTGTTTTTTTCCTAGTGTTTGACCCAATTATTTGGATGTCTGAGGTAGGAAACTCTGTTAGACCATCTTACCCAGCAGCAGATGAATTGCAGGCTCATTCTTTTCAATGCTTTATCCTGTGCTTTGCTCATCTGGGTTTTAAGCGTCCCCAGCAGTGAGACTTCTGCACTCCTTAGAAGGATGTTCCATGTCCTAGCCTGTATCCTACTTGAAACATTTGTGATGAGAGGGATAAAATTATTCAGTAACGCTAAAGCATAGAAAAAGGCATATTTCCTTCAAATTTTTGCTGTTAATTAACTTTCTTTTCCAGTTCTTAGTTACACTCCGGAGACCAATTTCAACTTTAGTGTGACTCCCAGTGAAGTCTCTTGCACTTGCCTACAGCAGAGATGAATTTTGTTCATCTGACTTTTGCTAGCTGTCAGAGAAACTATCGGTATGTCAACAGGGCATAAGAAATGCAGCTGTTGCCAGAAAAGGGAAAGAGGAAGTCAGGGGAAGACCTTCTGAAGGGAAAAGTGGTCTGTAAGGGAGGAGAGGAGTAAGTGGGATATCTGGGGGTTAGATAGGGGCATACAACTTCCATCAAATTTTTGTTCCCTGAATAAAACTGTATGAATCAGACCTGCTTGTCTGGGAAGCAATTAGCTCTACAGCCTAAATCTGCACCTGGCTTGCATTTATTTAGAAACAGGCAAATGCAGGGGATCTGGGAATGGGCTGGTTTGTACCCCATCCACTTCTGTGTCAGTTAATGCTTCATCTCTACACAGTAGGAATAAATCAGGTGTTACAGAGTCACTGAGCTCTTAGCTTCTGGAAAAAATAATTTTTAGGCTGTGCCTCTACAATTCTTAAACATGCCTATTTGTGGGGAAAAGACTGTAGTTTTCCCAGGCGGAGTCTACGTTTTCTTCCTTTAAAGAGATCTTTGTCCTTTCATTGTCCAAATTAGTAACTTGTTGGAACATGCCGCCGTTTCGGTGTACCCAGGCTTCATATCCATGGAAGGCTGAGAAAGGTGTTTTCCAAGATCTTGTCCAAACACCCATATAATGCATGTAAACTGATCTCAGCTTCCAAAAATAGCTTGCAATTCCCCAGGTTAGCGTAGATGTTTACGTGAACTTGTAAATAATCAGTGATTTTGTCCCGTATCACTGGCCTTGTCGAAGTGCATAGGACTATCACGTGCATCAGGCTGGAGGGATGATGCTGAGTGTCCCTTGCTGACTATGCTGATGGATAGCACTGCATGCACAAAGTCTTATGAGCACAGAAATTTGAGGGGAGGTGTTTATGCAGAGCAACAATTAACACAGTTAATTGCATGTATCTTTTATGTTGGCAGACCTGCCAACTGTCAGCTGTTTCAAACTAACTTATCAGTCTTCACGTTGATAATTGATTCCTCAATTGTATGTGAAAAAAGTTCACGCTTATTAGAGCTTGTTTGCAGTGCATACCTTCTGGTTTTCCCCCTGGCACTTTCAATCTGTTTATCTTAAATGGAGGTTAATCATTTGTTTTCTTGGGGGAGAATAAACTATGCTTCATTTTCTTTTACATTCTGGTAATTGCAGGAGGTTGCAGAGCAAGTTGCAGAAGTTTAAATCGCCCATCTTTCATTGCAGCTGGAGCATTTCTTGCTCTCCTATTGCTTAAGGCACATTTCTTAGCCCCAAAGTTATGGATGCCAAGTGTTTTTGCTAAGGAACTCTGTGCCTTTAGCCAAAGCCCAAGTCAGTGAAAAGTGCCTGGGAGCAATGGGCACATCTTAGGTTTGACGTCAATGTGAAAAAATTACTCCTGCTAAGTGTTCTTGTATGTTGGAACCCACAGGCATCAATGTGGAGACTGCCGAGCACCCTCCACTATCGCCAGTGTTAGCACTGGAGGCAACCAGAATCTTTCTGAGTCTGGCTCTATATCTGACTCTAATTAACAGACGTTTAAGCAAGCAGGGAATGTGGAGAGAGGGAAATGAGTTAGCTCACACACTGGAAATTTTGGCAGGAATTCACCAAGCTGCTCACACAAAGTAGTCTGCAAGGATGTAGGTCCTTCTCCAACTAGCCCCTTTGCCAGTGGTGAGGGACACTGCTGGAGTCCTTCATACTGATATGAAGAAAAGTGTTGTGAGATCCCCAAATAGCGTAATACCATGAAGTCCTTTTTTGAGGAGGGATCAATGAGTGCTTGACTGACTACTAATTATCAACATTTTTTCTTGCTGCCCTCACTAATAGCTTTGCTTGCTAATTGATGTGATTTTGCAAACTGTCCAGAGCCTGTACCTTTGTGGGGCTCCTTACCCCAACAGACTTCCTCTGTTCCCTCCTCCTTGACATCCTCTGATTCCTTTTTGTCCTGACATCACCAACCATCTTCCTTCGTTTTGCACTTTACAAGGAACTGGCATGGCTGCAAACTGAAGGAGGAGTGTGAAAGCTCAGCCTGCTTTTGGGCTCTCTCTGGTGTTGCAGCTCCCCAGCTCCAGAGACAGAAGGGTGAAAGCAGAGAGGTGTGCGAAGAGCACAAGTGAAATACAGCATGGGATCACGGATATCGCAGTAGGGTAGTGGAATCAGTGGCAAACAGCTGGGAAGGTCATTTGGTGTTGTGTGGGCTTAAAACCACAGCACCACCAGGGTGTCTCACCATGCCCATCTCCACTGTGGATTAGGTGAGGCAAATGCACTGGAACGTGCATGGACACAAATGTTCTTGAGTATGTGCCACACCTGCTTTGCAGCCTTGGCTGACAGCACAAGTGTAAGCTCAACACATTGGTGCCCCGTCCTGCAGTGCAGGTGAGTACCTGCACACGGGAGAGCAGCCCTGCTGGTGCTGTCAGGCTACTCGCATTAACATTACTCATACTGGCATGCTCACAAAAATTTGTAGGACAGGGCCCAAAGCAGTTAAAATTTCATGTTTATTGAAACACAGCTGTATTTATTTTTGTTAGAGATACTTAAAAATAATAACACACTATGAACTGTGCAGCAACCAATATAACATGAAATCATAAAGCCATTTTCAGTCATGCAACACTGTCTAGTCCTGTAGCATCGTAACTTGGTCAAGGGCTCAGGGGCATGTTAGCAGCAGTACTAAAATTAAAAATCATGGCCTGTGTTGGCAGTAGCAGCACCATAAATTATTTAAAAGAGCAAACTTTGAACAAACCTGATCTACTTTAAAAAAAAAGTTATTCAGATATTTTTCTACTTAATCTGCGAGCAGTGAAATGGACTTAAGTAGTCTATTGGTTTTTTTCCTGCCAGATTTCAAAACTAGACCACCAAGTCAACTGAGCCATAGCAGGGTCCCCTGGGGTTTTGTTCTTTAAAATTGTACCTGAACTCATGCATTAGTTTGGAATTTAAAGTTGTGATGCTGCTTCAGTGTCACAGCTGTCAGAAATGGGTAGGAATGGTCCCTTCTTTCTCTCTCTGGTTTCTTACTGCTATAAAGTTTGAGTGTTGAACATTGGATGAGGATGTAGTCTTAAGAAAAAGAGGGATTTTATTACGCATTAAAAATGATAATGTTAAGGTAATATTAGAACCTCCACTAGAAATAAATAAGTGCACATGCAAAATTTCATCTTGAGTTAATTGCATAACCATAAGCAATAAACCAAAGAGACCTGCAAACTGTCAAATAAATGATTCAATAACATGTTCATGTGCTGAGAAGATAATAAAGAGAAAAAGCAACGTTGCCATTTCATTAGGCCTTGTAGGCTTATCCTCCTGTCAAAGTCATATAAATCAGCAGTAACTATACTTAGGTCAATGAAGTTATCCTGCTGTAAATGCACTGTTTGTCAGGCAGGAATTGGATTAATATATAAATTACCAGCCCACTCCAAAGGTCTGTGGATTCATTTCCTTTTGCTATTGTTCCAGGCAGAACTTGCTTGCCAGTTGACTGACCACTGTGTTGCAGGCTGGGGCTTGGGGGGAAAAAAGGAAAACAACAAGTGGAAGCTTTGGCCCAGACTCTGATGGGAACAGGAGCAGGTTCTGGATGCTGTGTGCTCTTTTGGTCTTGCTGTTTGCATTTTTTAGTTAGTTATTGCTGTTTTTCTTAAAAAGGAAGACAAATGGCTGTGTCTTTAAAGGTAAGGATGCAGACACACTCCTCATTGCTGTGAGCTTTTTTATTTGTAGAAGCATGGAGCCCGTGGCAGCCCTGGAGCCCTTGCAGTGTCACCTGTGGGGATGGCATCCGGGAGCGCTTCCGAGAGTGCCTCACCTCCTCGCCAGCAAACCCAGGCTGCGCTGGATCACCGAGGGAGGCTTCCCTGTGTTCGCTGGAGGAGTGTGCGTGTACGTACCTCTGCTGTCCTCTTCCCCCTGGTCGCATGACTGCCCTGGCAAAAGGAAAGGGCCTGTTGTTAGAAGGGCTGTGTCAAACAGAAACATCTGCTCTCTCCTTCAGTCACATTGATTCAGGGGGCTGTCACATTCTTGTGCTTGATGGAGTAGAGTGGAAGCCTCCATGCATTTGTGGGACAGCTGGAGATAATGCTCCAAGGCATAAGATTTCTGAATGCTGTGGGTGCCATGGAAGCAGTTTAAAATCTCCATCATGGCCAGAGGGTGAAGAAGCGCTGAGAGATCTTGGGACTAGCAGAACGTGTTCAGTAGTGAAAGCCACTCCAGGCAGTGGGAATCTCTTAAAAAGTCTGTTAAAAAGAGTACTGGTTGTAGCGGTGACCTGTGGTGTGAGATTCCCATTCTGTGAGTTTTTTGAGGTGGCAGTGCCAGGACTGCCTGTGCACCAGCCTGTCACTGCTGTTGGTCCATGATATTGCAGGCTGGCTGCTGCTGGTGAGTGGCAAGTTGGTGAAGTTACAAGAGATCTGAACCTCCTGTAAGACGAGAGCGGTGTTCCAGCAGCTGCACAGCCTCCAGTGAGGATGGATGAGGCTGTGCCAGCACCATAGTCAGGTGGTTATAGTTACCATGAGGGGTATGAGAAGTGCTCCTTTTAGCAGGGTGCTGGTGCTGAGTTCATGCAGAATTTCTGCTTCTTGAAAACTCCCTGCTGAAAAAGAGTGTGCTGATGCCAAGGGTCCCCAGAGATCCATCTCAGAAAGTTGATCTACAAGCTCCCATGCTTTTGTGTCCCACAGGTGCCAAGGGTTCAGGGATGGGAAAGGAAAGGTGCCCAGGAACTGTGCAGGCTCCTGGGCTCTCGGGCTGTATTTTAAAAGGTATTTTAAGATATTAAATAGTGAGCAATGCCTTACCCTTTGCTTTGGCTGCTTGCATGTACTTCCTTCTGCTTGCACAAGTGCAGTGTGGAGAACTGGAATGGAGCCAGTTAAAAAATAGACAGTCTGGGGATGTGGGGAAATTGTTTAGCATGTGACCACTGCAATGCTTGTGCCACTGAAAAGGGAAGGACAGCAGGGGGAGAGAATGTGTAGCTGGAGCAAGAAGAGGGCAGGACTACGTTTTTAATGGAGGTGTTGGCTTGAACCAGCCTCAAGGTGTCTGAGGACGAAGGCCTCAGAAGTATACAGGCGGGACTGAAATGTGTTGTGGAGCACTTTTAAGAAATGGGTTGTATTGAACAAAAGTTTGGGTGAAGTGAAAATACTAAAAATTATATTCCATCAAGCCAGGGATTGCGTTTTGTGCAGTACTTGGAATGTTTTAACAGGTCTGATGTTTTTAATGACTTGAAAATGCTGGCCATGTGGGTTTGCTTATTTTGTAAAGCTGTAAGTTCAAGCAGAGAGGAACAACTCAGATGTTTTGGGCTCCAGCTTAAAACTAATGTCCTGCTTTAGAGCTAGTTTTTTCCCTATGCCAAACTCTTATCAGACTGCTGTTGGCAGTAATGTCACCATCAAAATGCAGTGGGTGGTTAGTGTTTTTCTAAAGCTGATGTTGAGCTGTGCTATTCCATGCCTCCTGTTACCTGCTGGAGAGGTATGTCTGTGAGTACATAATTTGGTTTGGCTCCTTGCCAGCCAGTTTCACAGCCCTCCTCTGGAGCTCAGAGAGTAGTCTTGGTGCACAGAGCTCCCCAGAGAGGGGGTCTGTGCATGCAGAGCATGTGCTGGGCACGTGATTTGCGTGTGCACCTTGCTTTACATGCACAGAGGTGACCTGCCTCTCTGGTCCTTCTCAGAGGTGTCAGTCTTCCCATGCAGGTGTGCAACTGTGCAAGGTATGTGATGGTTGCCAGAGAGGTCAACCTCCTGTGCATGCACAGTTCACAGGCCTGTGGCAGTCTGCTTTGAGTTACAGTATGACAGCACTCAGCAGGTCTGGACAGTCCTCAAATTCCAGTGAGGTCTCTGGGTTAATAAAGAGGGTTTATATATATATATAAAATCAAATGCACAGGAAGCCTGCATCTGTACCCTGTGGAATCATCTGGAGGAAAAACCTCGCTTCTCATTTGCACATGGTTTCTAATCCTCCTGCTCCCAGCTTCCTTTACAGAATCACCTATATGATTTTATCCCATTGAATCTTAGGTTGCTTGAGAAGTGACTTGACAATGTGACTTTACAGTGTTCATCTGCTCCTGATCTCAAGCTGGGAGTTTGACCCTTCCCACCTCTGCTATCTGCAGCTTTACAAAGCAGACAAGCTTTGTTTTCAGCATAACTCTGCAGTCGTTAGTCCAGCAGATGGAGCAAATGGCTGTATGAGTGAGACCAGCAGAGTGTAGGGGCAGGGGACGATGAGGTGCAGAGAGAGGCGATCCACAGCGACAAAGTCCTGTTTTGAACCTCGCCGTTTGCTAAGCTATTAGCTGTCTGCTCCAAATGACGCAGCACAGTGTGCATTACAAATGGAGAACAGAGTATTTGGAAAACAGCCGTGAGCAACAGGACTGAGAGAAGGATGAGAAACGAACGAATTGCTCTGCTGGAGTTAACAGAGCAAATACTGGTCCTGCTTTCTTTCCTGAGGTCAGCTTGTTCACTCCATGATCAAGCCTCCAGAACAGCAGTGCTCTGGGCTCTGGCATGGTAGCATTGGGCTGAATGCAAGTTTTAGAGATCCTCCTAAAAGATTCATCAGTCTTGTTCTTTAAGCTGCTTTCAAGCTCTCAGAGTGACACAAAGATCAAAGTTTATTCATTGGCAGGATTTTTTAAAGGGCTTGGGGATGTCAGGTAGCTCTGAGTCAAAGAAATGGACCTCCTGCCTAACCCAGCACCCTGCATGTCTGTTTTTAGCAGCCTGAGACTTTCTGGCCTGTGTTTATCAGTGCATTTATGCGTCCTGCACACGTAAAAGCTGCACTACCAGCTTGCCGTTGAATATTTTTTTTTCTGAATTATGGGAAGTATGTGGTGTCTACTTCTCATTATTCTGCAATTGCATTTCCTATGCCTGGGCAGTCACTGTGGCTCAGGCAGGAGCACCTGCCGAGTTTTACAACTGACTGTCTATTGCTCTTATAGAAGGCTTTGGCTTCTGGATAAAGCAAGAGACTAGGGCAGGGTGGTTCAGTGGTTCAGTTTGAGTTCACAGCTTTATGGCCAGCTCTTGTCAAGTACAACTGACCAGCCTTGCTCTCCAACAACATTTTCGTGGCTTTACAGAGCTGATGTCTGACCCCAAAAAATTGGGGAGTGCTAACAGATACTAAAATTAGCTGCTGGACTAATTAATCTGCTTTCAACCATGCTGTATTCTGCTTAAGGCTGCACCTGAAATCCTAGAGACCTCATTCAAAAAAGAATCATTAGTTTCTTATTGGTTCGGCTATCTGTAATGTGGAGCAGTGGGCTGGTGAGAGGTTTAAATAGGGATGTGGACAGCTCTGAAATGTTCTCATTACAGAATCATAAAATATCTCAAGTTGGAAATGACCTATAAGGATCACTGAGTCTAACTTCCTGTCCTCACAGGACTTCCTAAAGCTAAACCGTATGATTTAAGAGCATCATCCGGGCGGTCCTTGAACTCTGGCAGGCTTAGTGCTATGACAGTTTCCCTGGGGAGCCTGTTCCAGTGGCTGGCACCCTCTCAGTGAAGAAAAGTTTGCAGAGTGTCAGTCCTAGAATGCTAGGGACACCAGAGCAATGGCCTTTTCAGTTGAGAGCTTGCTGTGACATGTTCAGTTTTTGCCCTCTGGGGCTATGGCACCAGACAGTGGTGGAAGAAGCACCCTCAGAAGAATGCTTAGAAAAGTTACACTGTCTCTGCTAGCGCTGCCTCTCTGCTCTTCAAACTCGTTCCAATTCTCACACCCACTTAAGCTCACCTAAAAATAAAGTGATACCTGAAGTCCTAGCCTCGGTTGAATTATTTTTTTCCTGTTTTATGGCACTTTTTATCAGGCAATCTTAAAGTACTTAATAAAGAAGGGCAAATAGAGTTATCCCATTTGACACTTATTTAGGAATGCCTTATGGAAATGGCAAAACAGGAAAAAGTAATGGCTGCATTTAAAAGGTCCATGGGCACCTTGGTTTAAAGTAAGTAGATCTTTTTGGGCCAGTTTGAAGTCATCTGTAGTAAGTCATCTCCAGTGAGCACATTTTAATGGCAGACAACTTCCTGTACTGTATTAATTGCTTATTTTTTCTTTGTAGTAACATATCCATCCTCAAGTACCAAAATGCTGATGCCAGTGCAACTCTGACAGACATGTGTGCTCTCTCTTACAGCTGTCAAGCCTCCCACCCCGCCTCCTGTCCAGCCAGGAGAGAACCGGAAAGCAGATAATATAGTTACCATCACAGGTATTTCTGTATGCTTGTTTATCATCTTTACCACCATTCTTATCACCCTCTGGAGGAAACTCTGCAGAGCTCAAAAATGCAGTACCGCTGTCCGACGAAACTCTGTCCATTCCCCTGGCTTCCGGAAAAACTCCGACGAGGAGAACATTTGTCAAGGCAACAAGCAGCGGGACAGCTTTGCTGAAGGAGGGGATGCCCTTGTTAACATTCCTCTGACCTATAGGCGAAGCCTCCAATTTGCCCAAGAAGATGATGCCTCTGGAAGTGAAAACTTGCAGCCAAATGCCCAAAAAATAATCCCTCCGATTTTCAGCTACCGCCTGGCACAACAGCAGCTGAAAGAGATGAAGAAGAAAGGCCTGACGGAGACCACTAAGGTGTACCATGTCTCTCAGAATCCCCTCACGGACACAGTTGTTGGTGCCACCGCGATGCTTCCCCTGAGCCAGGAAAGCCAAGAGGAGGTAGCAGCAAACAAATTTCGGATCAAATCTCCATTTCTGGACCAGCCAGCCAGTCAGCACAAATTCCTGGGGGAAAGCTCTCACCCCAGGCTGGATTTTCCATTCTCACAGGCCAATCCTGCAGTGAGCCCTACCCAAACCCTAGTAAGAAGAGCTCATTTCAAGCACCAGGATAACAGAGCAGACTTGCCCGAGAGGGGCTGTCACAGAAACTCACAGTTTAGAAGAACAGCCAGTTTCCATGAAACTAAAAAGGCCAGGCCTTTCAGAGAGAGAAGCATGTCCACTCTCACACCCCGACAGACTCCTCTCTACAACTCCAGGACCAGGACATGGGACCAGAGCTTGGAGGACAGAACACGGCCAAAATCCAGAAATGCTAATCCAGCGTGTGAAAAGCTGGATCAGCCCCACAACACTGTGCTGGGGTGTGAACCACAGGGCCATGGCACAAAGTCCCACCACAGGGCAGGTCCCCCAGTGAGGAAGCTGGACCTGATCACTGACCGCCAGCCTGCTGGTCAGGAGAAGGCAGCTGAAAAACCTGAGCCCAGCCGAAGTAAGAGGGGCCCTTCACCTAACCCCAGAGGCATGTGGCGGAAAGAAACGGGCTCAAATGGCAAAGATAATTCCCAGAGAGGCCTGAGTGTAAGCCCTGCCCAGCACCGTAGGGACAAGTGCCAGAGCTTCCCCTTGGACCCTGAGTTTGCCTTTTATGATAATAGTACTTTTGGCTTAACAGAGGCAGAGCAGCAGATGATTGACCTCCCTGGGTATTTTGGTTCGAATGAAGAAGATGAAACAAGTACTCTAAGCATTGAGAAGCTGGTGATCTGAGTGACTCATTGCGGCCCTGCAGGAGGGGCATGCGTGGTAGAGAATCTGCTGGATCAGTTGGCTTCTGGTAGAAGAAGCAACAGGAATCACGTTACCTTCACATGGAGCAGGAGGGAATAATGCCTCAGATCTGGCTTGTGGGATACATATTCCTTTCTAATTACTGAAAAGTGCTTTCATATAATATTTTTTTGTATGCACGTGTGTACAATACACACAAAATACGCTGGGAAAGCACATGTTAGTGAAGACATGACCCAGGAATAGCCAATAGATTTTATTGCCTAAAGCAGTCATGTTTCATGAATCAAAGATGATGAGTGCCACTGATCTAGCCTTTCACACCTTGTGGACTCTGTACTAGTAGACTGTGACATACTGAGGCATCCATTGTACGGCATCCTCAACCATCTGCCCTGATTAATGAATGATTTCCCATTTAGAAAGGACAAACTTCTAGTGGTGAGCAGTTTTTATCATTTTTCTGGTTAGCGTCATTGAACTGTTGTAGTTGCTCAAATAAGTCATCTGGTGAGGGTTTTTTAGCGGGTTGCATGGAAGTGCAAACAATTGATGCTGAATACTTGGAGTGAATTTAAAATTGAGGAGGCATTTTTCATCATTCAAGACTTTGATATTTTCTTTCTGTCAATATTTATGCCAGGAAAACAATGATGTACAGATATTTGCAAGAAATTTTTAGAAAAGGCATGCTACAGGGAGGGCAAAGAAAACAGATGATCAGATTTTAGTCCTTGCAGAAATGTTACTGCAGAATGTTACCTGTAAAAAGCACTGAGAACTGTTGAATCATGCATCCTTTCCATAATTATCCTTTCCTTTATTAATTTTTTTAAATGTAAATATATTGACAACAATACTACTACAGCAAGATCAAAATAAATTAAGAACAAAACCAGCAAACAACAAGATTATTGGTTAATACCTGTTATGTTAACAAAAATTAAAAATAAAATGACAACATCTGGTGATTCACAGAGAATCTTATAGACTCATAGAATCATTTAGGTTGGAAAAGACCTCTAAAATCATCAAGTTCAACCATTAATATAACACCACCATGTTTACCACTAAACCATATCACCAAGTGCCACATCCATATGCTTTTTGAACACTTCCAGAGACCGTGATCCCACCACTTTCCTGGGCAGCCTGTTCCAACACCTGACCACCCTTTCAGTGAAGAATTTTTTTCTCATATCCAATCTAAACCTCCCCTGGCACAATATGAGGCCATTTCCTCTGGTCCCGTGACTTGTTACTTGAGAGAAGAGGCGGACCCCCACCTTGCTGCAAGCTCCTTTCAGGTAGTTGTAGAGAGCAGTAACAGTGAAGTACAACAGCCATGGTGGGTTTATCTGTTGTGCTTTAAAACTAGAGATCACAAATTTGCCATTATACGTTGCTGCAAGTATTCAGAGTTGGGTTGGAAACCTGGTTAACAACAGTGTCAGAGCTCAGGCCAGAAAGAATGACTTAGAGACTTTGCTTGCCATTTGTTGGGATAGCTGTCTCTCCAGGGTCTTGCAAAGAGCAAGGTGATGCTAGTGGGCAAAAGCAAGAAAAGAGGAGGTGCTGCCCATGGAGGTAGGTATGAGAGAAGATAGATTTAGGCGGTGGACTAAATCTTAAATCTTAGGCGATCAGTCTTAAATCAACTCTCCCATAAGGAGCCAACCCTACATGCCTTTTAACGTGCCTTGTGGGTGTGAAGGAAAAAATAGCATGTGCTCTGTTCTCTGGAAGGAGGTGCTGTCTTTCTCAAAATGGGCTTTCTGAGCAGAAAGATAGGTTTCCCAATCCCACACTTCTCCCCTCCCCCACTCCCCACAAAGCAACAGCAATTTTAAAGGAAGAGCAGCATCACCGTGTGTCAGCTGCCAGTTATGGCACCCCACTGAAGTGTCCAAAGCATGCACAGGTAGTTTGACAGGCACACAGTGTCACTTGCTGTGACAACCTAGGAGCAAAAAGACTCTCAGCATTTGGCCACCAGAATCAAACCTGGCTGTTTGAATGGCCTTTTTGATGGGTGAAGTTTTGAAGCTGCTGCTGGAGTAGCAGATCCCACTTGCAGGGTGATGTGACCTCCCTCCTTCCCAGGAGCTGTGCCAACAGGGCACATTGGTGTTCAGCCTTTGGCCCAGCCTGGCATTTGTACTGGTTATGCGTTCCCACAAGCTGTCAGCTTGAAATGCTGTTTAAAGCATGTAAGAACGTGTTCACGCTTGAAGAGTTATCCAAAGGCAGTCAAATGTAATGAGTCTTTAAATTGACTTAAATGAGCTGGAAATCAAACCTCTGAAGCAATTGCTGCTCAGGTTACTCACCACCCCTGTAATAAGGTAAACTTTGCAGTATGAAGCACATTCACCCTGAAGCAGAGATCTGTCAGGCTTGGAGCTGCAGGGCTACAGTATCTTTTAAGCTTTGTTGAGCCTCTCAGCATGGGAAACCCTGGAGAAACAGATCAAATGTACAGCGCAGCAACATTCAGCAAGCATTCCCCTAACCTTTAGTGGGAGTGATTTGAGCTTGGCAGTAGCCTTCAGATCAAATAAGTACTCAGCTAGTGGCATTTTACCCTGTTTATTGAGATAAAGGGGGTTCTGAAATGCTTCCTGGAGTTTGCTGTGGGAGCTTAAGGCTCCAGCACAAAGCCCTGTGACCTCTGCATCTCCAAGGGGGTCCCCTGTGCCACAGGAGGGCAGAGAAGGGGGAGTGTTGCTCTAAATCAGATGCTGCTTCCTGAAAACTTCCCAGTGTTGGGCTGTCTTCAGAACAGCTCCTGTAATGCATTAAATGTGCTTAGGTACATTTTACAAAGACAACAAGGCAGAGCCCTTCCCTCCCAGCTTGTCATACCTTGTCCCCTCTTTCTCTCTCAGAGACAGAAAAAAGCACCATAACATTGATGCTGGCTGAAGGCAGTCCAACAATAACGCCTGCCTTTCCATACTGACATAGAGGGAAACAGGCTCCATAGTCTGGACTTTATATCACTCATTGCTCATTCACTGGGGAACTTGACCAGGTGGCAGTTGTCTGACTAAGCCCTGCTGACTTTATTTCCAGCTTGATACTTCATTATCAGATGGGTTATTGGCTGCTTAATGAACTGTGAAATTGCTAATGCTGTCCCTTCAGTGCTGTAATTTCTGCAGTCTGTAATCTTTACCCTGTTTCCTTAGCCCTCTACTGAAAAATGGGATTTAGCATCACTGGCCAGAAGGCATTAACTGATTTCACTCACATTTCTCTGGGTCTTCAATGTAGACAAAAGCCATCCTTAGTGCCCTCAGCACTTCATCAGCGGCCACACAATTATAATCTGTGCCAAGTCATTTCTTATGTTCCCAACATGCAGTTACAACCTTGCACTAAGATTTTACCCTAGTAAAACACAGAAGTATTGATCAGAAGGGAAATAGCAAGCGCTAGCTCTTTGCAGCTCTTTCTTCAAAAGGGCAACCTCATTTCAGACAGGTAGGTGCACATTTCATTCCAAGTGGGTATGCTTGGGAAAAGGGTGAGGCTGCAGTCTTGTGAAGGGCACAGACTTTAGGAACATGGCTCCCTAGAGTGCTGCCCACTGCACTCCAGTGTTCACATTTGTAATCACTGAGATGTCTAGGAAGCAGTGAGAGCAGGGTTTACCTCTTGACAAAGCAGAGTAACCAAACCAAATTTTATACTGAACCTTCACCACGTGTCTCTGCATTGTCTCCTGGACAGCTTTAGCCATGGAAATTAAACTTACCTTGCAGACCCTCTCAATTACCTAGGACAACAAGTAGAAAAGAATTGGAGCCAATACCAAAGGAATGCTTTTCTCATATTATGACCTTTACAAGATTTTAATCCAACTTTCTGCTCAAGTTCCTACTGTTAAAAACCAGATAAAAAGTATTAAGTCCTACTCAGCTGGTTTTATTTCGTTCTTTATGGATGTACATACAAATGACAATATGTATAGATCTAAAAGCCAATAAATGGAAAAGAGCTACCAGTTAAAAAAAATATTGTAAATCATAAAAAAATTAGGCTTACTCTACATCACAATAGTTAAATGACTTGCATCAAGCTGATACTACTGTTCATTTTTAACCGTTACTGTTAACAACTTGTGGAAAATAAACTTTCAGTGTTCCATTTCTTTCAGTCATTTGTATCGCTCTTTTGCTTCACTCCAATGAGACAATGAAAGTAGTTTGCCCTGTGGTTCAACCACTTTCTACTTTCTAATTCCTTTTCACTAACTCAAAGTCATCTGGTAAATTACAGGAGAATGTACAAATGAATCATGTCTGCATTTTAGGAACTCCTAAGAATATCTGTGCTCAGCTAAATTTAGTAAAATCTGCCTAATTTTAGTCTGGGGCTTAAATCTGGTCGGCAGGGTTGTCTTTGCATTAATGTGTTGCAGTGTGCTGTAGCAGTGGATCTCCAGCAGGAAGCTGTTGGCAATGGAACCCAGTGCCCACATTGTCCCTATTGTGGAGGTTTACTTTGAAATGGTCTTAGTCTGGATGTACGTTAGCAGCTGGAGCACATCCATCCACGTTTGGTTTCACACACTCCAGAGGCACTCTGATACTGAAGTGTGGCAATTTAGAACCATAGGGAGAGTTGCTTAGAAACATCTCCTGAGGCAGAACAAAACGCTGGTAAAAGGCACACCAGATGAAGTCCAATTTCCCATTGCTTTGTTCTTTCTGTTCTGATGTCCTCATAATTGAAGCGCTGATGTTTAAAATCAAGATGAGAAAGGTTTAGACCTCAAAGAGTATAGATAGATTACAGGACATGCTTAGAATCATAGAATCAACTGGGTTGGAAAAGACCTCCAAGATCAAGTCCAACCCTTGATCCAACACTGCCATGGTTATTAGCTTGATCATTCGAAGTCCAGAGAGCTTTTAATAAACATTTTCCAACAAATTCCTGAAAACTGCTGAAAAAGAAATCTGTGGTTATCCCATGACTGAGATCCATATGTTTTCTGTTAAATTTTTGTCTGGCTATGCTCAAACAACTCTTGCTGTTAGCTTCAGGTAGCAGAAGCAGGTGCAACTCCAGTTATCACAGTGCAGGTTTGGCAATTGGCAGCAGCAGAGAACCAGCTATCAACTTATACAATTCTCTTCAGCCTGTAGTTTTCCTCTTTCCAAAGCAGCAGGTTTCAGCTGCCCTGACTGTTCTCTCCATCTCCACTCTCAATGTCAATGAAGAACGGAGCCCTGATTTTCATGGCTGAATATTTCAGCGAGTACCACATCCCATGCCACGTAGACCAAACCATGCCATCGTCATGGGAGCCCTTGTACCTTCCTCTTCTGTAGTATCGTCCATTGAGGTTTGCGGCATGGCACCTTGTGATGATGTAGGAGAGGGAAAAAGGGAATTATGCTTAGCGTGGGAAGATATTGCATCATTGCAGTGCAGTACAGTTTTCACACAACATACATCTAGAAATACCAGGGTGGGATGGAAATGTGGTTAGTGCACTTAGTGGAACCCAAACAAGTATATGGGTCATACTAAAGTAGACGCCTACACTAGTCACAGAATTCAACCTGTAGACTCCTTCAGGTGTATTAATTATGGACATTATAACCACATTGCCTAAACAGAGGGGTGTAGTGCCATTTGTTAGGCTCTAGCTCAAGTGTAGGCAGCTCCATATTGACACTTAAAAATGCAGATGTCTTTTAATGAAGGTGAATCCTACTATTGATGTAGCTTCACTGATTTCAATTGTTATGTGATGAGGGTCTGGCCAAAGGGGCTCATCCTGCAGTAAAGCAGAGAAAAACTGAGAGTGGTGTGTCCATGGTCCCAGGGCAGGTGAACCTGAGTCCCTGCCCACTGATGTGTGACATATGCCCAACTAGCAAATATACCATCACATCTGTTATGGGATAGCTCACCCCCTAGACATGCTCCACAAGAGAGAAATGTCCTTTGTACATGCTTCAGGTT